CTCTGTGATAGAAAAACCTTCCAGCTAAGTTTCAGCAGAGTGAAAACCTGCACATACACTATAATGAACATACAAGCCTAGAAAAAAGACCAAGATGGGACAGTGGAAACTGCTAAGATATGAAATTGGGCAATATCATATTACTTTCCTTTTACTTGCCTGCGTTAGCCAAGTTCTTCTTTTAATCAGTGAACACACTTTTAAAATTACAATCAGAAAATGAATAAAAGCATTAGAAAACAAAACCTTGCCCAAAATCTCCCTCTGAATTCGGAGCAGGATTCTCCTGAGGGGGAGAGTCTGTCAAACACAGTAGTCAGAGGAGCTGCCCTGGGTCATGCAGAAGTTAAATCCCACCTGAGACTGGGTGGACTGGGGAGCTCACCACCTTCCACAGTCCTCCTGGGTGGTGTCAGTACACTTCAGCCAGACTGGTTCTCACGGTCTGGTTTCTGCTGACTGCATCTCCATGATGTCATGTAACTCATTTTCCCTGAATTTCTTGTAAATTCCCTGTATTTCCTTTGATATAATACTTTCTTTGTTCATCCATTCAACAAACTTTTATCAAGCATCTACCTTGTGTCAGGTGGGGGCTATGGATGCAACAGTCAAAATAGTAGTCAAATTTTTGCACACTCAAGAAGTCTATGGTGTGTTAAGTGTGAAGGAAAAAATGCAGCAGGGAGGCACAGGCAGGTCAGAGCAGGCAGTGGGTGTAAAGGTGAGCCACATTGTTCTCAGGGTGGTAGGGAGGGAATCTCAGAGGGGCGGGCTTGAGGCTGCATCTCCCCAGTGCTGGGCAGGAGGGAGTGTTCGGGCAGGTTGCAGAAGCAGTGCAGAGCCAGCCCTGGGGGCTGAAGCAGAGCAATCAAACTCCAAAGGGCTTGGAGTTCAAGCCAAAGAGGGAACTGTGAGGAAAGGTCATTGGCACTGTGTGCTGGGACCCGTGGGCTATAGTCAGGGAATTAGCTTCCACTCTGGGTGAGTCTGGAGGATTCTAGGCAGAGCAGGGATGTGATCTGAGTGAAGTGTTCACAGAACCTCTCTGGCTGCTGTGCTGAAAACAGACTGAAGGACAGAGGCAGAAGCAGTGAAAGCAGATAAAAGACATCAATAACCTAGGCAAGAGTTGAGTGCCAGAGCTTCTGATGAGTCTGGACATGGAGCTACTAGGGCTGCTGGCGGAGTGCATATGGAAAGAAGGGAGCAAGGCAACTTCATGCTTTTGGGTACAGGACAGTCCTTCTGGACAGATGGACTTGTGCTCACTGATAGGGGCAGGGTGTGAACCTTGTCATGGAGGGCAGTTAGGGCTCACACTGACAAATTTGACCTCTAGTCAACATCCACAAGGGGTCTATCCAGCAGGATACAGAAGTTGGGTTTCCAAGGAGGGTTCTAGACTAGATCCGTAAATGTGGCAGCCTTCACTATACTTGTGGCAGTGAGGGGAGTGCTGAAACCTGAGACTAGGGCACACCACAGCTCAGCAAGCAGTGGAGTTGGAAAGTGGCCCAGGAGACGGGAGAAAAGCAAGGGGCAATATCCAGGGTACCCAGTAGGTGGCTCTCAGGGAGAGCTATAGCCAAACACTGCATGTCACAAGCTGGAGACCTGTCTGTGATGACCTGCCATAGAGTCTGCAAAAGCCCAATCGCAGCAGGTTCCAGAGAGTGAGGACAGCTCTGAGGTCCACACCACCTCTGCTGAGAAGTGTAGCTCTGAAGGAAAGGACAGAAACGGAGTGGTGCCTGGTACTGAGCTGAGATCAGAGTTAAGCTGGTCTGGTTTGGCTTGGTTTCAAGCTGGGGAAGAGAGGAGTGAGTGGTTCCTGAAGCTTATAGGAGTGATTTAGTACAGGGTGAAATCACTGAAGGGACCGGCCGGGACAGTGAACTGGGCAGATGAACAGGGCTAGGGTCACATGGGACAGTAGGGTTGGCCTTGGTGACCAGGTGAGGGGCAGGCACGGTCCTGGTGCCTGTGGAAGAGCTCTGCTGGTTGTGTCTGTCTGCTTGGAGGTGGGAAGCCAGTACACAATCTGAGCTGTTAGACATTGAGAAGAAAAGACAGGAAATGGATGACGAGGGCAGAGTACCTGGACTAAGGGAGTAGGATTGCCAGTGTGGGGCACTCCTCTGGGGTCAGATTACGAAGTTCAACAAAGACCAGTCTAGGGGTTCTGCTCAGCAGTCCCAGGGGTGAGTCAGCAGAGGACTAAGCGGAGCCTGGGTTTCATCAAGGAAGTAGGAACAAGTACAACCAAGAGTGAGGGTGAAGTCACACAGCTTGCCCAGAGATAGCTGGCTGGGAGGAGCATAGGCCAGGTAGGGTTGTGGGGCCGGAGTTAGAGTGCTTGAGGCAGTGAGCCAAAAGGAGGGGAGGCGGTAAGAAGAGTGTGGGTTCTTGTGCCAGGGTTCCCGGGAGTGGCAGCTCTCTGATAGTAACCAGCTGTTGTCATGAGGAACACTAGGCCCCCACAGCACAGGAAGTTAAAGCTAAAGCTATCAGTGAATGAGGAAGATGTGTTGAAGGCAGCAAGGAGGGCTGGTGGGTGACCACTTGCACAAGATTCACAGTGGGCAGTTGTTAGTGAGAAGGAAGGGACTGGGCCTCCTGGGGTACAGATGTGGGAGATAACAGCCAGCACGTGCAGAAGCAGCCCGGTGGGGAGCAGGTCCAGCAGCCGGGGGCGTGTCTTGTTCTCCAGGAGCTCTGTGGTGGCCCAAGCTACTGTGTGAGCAGAAAGACACTGACCTCCTTGGAAAGCAAAATAGTCCTGCCACCCAGGCACTTCAAACAAGCCCTGGGGAATCTTCCTGTTTGAGAAGGTTTCAGCAGAGCTCACCAGTTGTCCTTAGGTAGGAGACTGCTATTATAAGGAGGGAGTGTTCAAGGCCACCACGCTGCTGCACACCAGTGTTCTAACTGCCTACCTGGCTTCCCCCTGGTCCACCTTAGGCAGTATCAAGCAGTGGTGGATAGCAGCCACAAGGCCAACTACACACATGCAAGAAAAGAGGTAAAGTGTGGGAAGTCTCCAGGAGAAGGCAGCTACCAAACCTCCCCTCCTCCTTCCTGTGCCCCACACCTTGTGCCACATGGAAGAGTCTGGATGCCTGCCTCGTCCCAACAGCATTGCAAGCCCTCTGGGTTGGCATGGAGACCTTTGTAAGCTAGCATTTGTGGTTGTAGCAAAGGTCCCAAGGAGCCCCATGTTGGCCCAGTCAGTCCCCAGAAGCTATCTAATAGCGTGGAATTATCAGTATTATAAGGTAGTATCATAACTTAAAATATTTTTTAAAATCATGTCATCTTATGAGTGTAATTAGTGCCAATTGACGTTACTGGCCTTTTGTGGTAAATTGGTAGGGAAGGTTGTCTTGAAACAGCTCTCTGAAAATATCAGAATCATCTGTGAGTGGGAAAAAGTTTGTACAGAGATATGTAAAAGATTTAGCTTCAATTAATCTCCAAAGCATCATTTAATAAAAGACTAAAATCAAACCATTATCAAGGTTTTGGTTGAATAGTATATATATTGCAATTCTACCCTGCTGTCCAAAATTAATAGGCACCCTGGCCAGTGTGGCTCAGTTGGTTGGAGCATTGTCATGTAAACCAAAGGGCAGTGGGTTCAATTCTCAGTTGGGGCACATACCTAGGTTGCAGGTTCTGTCCCTGGTCAGGGCACACGTGACAGTCAACCAGTTGATGTTTCTCTCTCACATTAATGTTTCTCTCCCTCTCACTCTCCCTTTCTCCCTTCCCCTTTCTCTAAGATCAACAGGCATGTCGTCAGGTGAGGGTTAAAAAAAAAAAAAAAAAAAGTGGGACAATTGCTTCATAAGAGTGGAAGGATTGAGGGCATGTTTATTTTTTTAAAAAATGAACGCCCTGACCAGTGTGGGGTCTTTCTGCAAAGCAAAAGATCGACAGTTTGATTCCTGGTCAGGGCACAGGCCTGGGTTGCAGGTTCGGTCCCCAGTCGGGGCGTGTACAACAGGCAACCAGTTGATGTTTCTCTCTCTCCCTCTTTTCCCCCCTCTCAAAAATAAAAAATGAAATCTTCCTTTAAAAAGTGAATGGGCAGAGATACAGGAGAGAATGTTTGCAGTATTCTGTGAGAAGTATTTTAAGAAGAATGTCCCCTGTAATTCCATTATGTGTGTGAATGAAGGAGAGATCTGGTGGGGACTAGTGCACGTGTCAGGTGGAACCCAGTGGGCAAAGGTCGTGTCTTGCGGTAACAGCTCCTTTTCTCCAGGTTGTGTGATTATTTTTGTTCATCAGCATTTTCTGCCTTACCTACCACGAATATACATTATGTACACATATGATGTGTACATATGTATGATGAAAATACATAATGTATACAGAAGTCAGGGAGGTAGGGAAACTTCAAGAAAAGCCAGCTCTGCTTGAGGAGGAGGGTATGTTCCTAGTCAGCCCTCAGAAGAAGTACAGCTCAAGGGTCCCCTCCTGTGTCCTTTTGAACAGAAGCATCTTTCTACAGAAGGACTTTCTTCACTTCTTACCATTTGTTATTAAGTGTGCATTCTGTACAGCGCCTAAAACAAAAGCACAGTTTAAAAAATGGTTATTAAAGCAGGCTCCTCCTGTATGAACAGCACCCAAATAAATGTGCCCTGATGACGGTCATTCTTGAGCTTTGTTAAATCCTTTTCAAACCCCAAAGCTAAAATCCAGCATCACTTTCATGTCACTGAAACTCCCCATCTCAGGCCTCAGAAGTAATGCAGGAGCCCTCTTTTCTCCATGGTGTCAAACACCCCCGTGGCTTGCGGATTAGATATATCACCATTTTTTATCCCAATTTCCTGCAGCACATCCTATAGTTTTCTCCTGTTCAGAATCCAACTTAAAACATCTTGTTTGTTGGTATTTCTGCATTTGCAGTTGCATCCCTGGTAGCAGCTGTTGGGTGCTATGCTCGGTCTTGGGGTGCTCATACTATCTAGCCTTCCCTCCCCCAGGTGTGCTTCGACGGTGCAGATGGGCAGGAGTCTGCCTGGCACAACTGCATGGTCCTCACACCGTCATTCACGCCAGTGAGCTGGAGGAGCTGATGCGCTTTTACCAGGTAACTAACTAGGCTCTGGCCAGAGATAATCTCCGATGGCAATGGAGATGATGACAGTGACACCTAAATGCTGCAAATAAAGGGGCAGTCCTTCCCCTGGTGTATGTCACATGTGTGCTAAGCATAGATGAAGCCTTGTCCCTGTGGGAAAGCCCCTTCATGTGCTAGACACCTTCTATGAATTAACTCAGTTAACTCAGACTGCTGTGGTAGATATCCTGAATTTCATTGCTGGCTGATATTTGTATTCTTAAAAGTACTCTCCCTCTTTCAGAAAGGTACTTTCAGAAGCCCAGTCAGTGGTTTGCATGTGGAGACAGCCCTTGGGTAACTTGCTGAAAACATGGGGCCAGTCGTGTGGCAGAGCCACAGCCCCTACTTCAGGTCCCCAGAGTGTGTGCCCACAGAGGGTATGATTATTGAGTGCTGGAGAGACAGGCATATTCAAGAGTCCAGGAGAGGGAACCTCAGGAGAGCTGTGGAAGTATAGGGGCTCTCCACGTTGCTGCTGTACTTATACTTTGCTGTGGAGTAGTTGACAGACCAAATATTCAAGGAGGAAGGGGGGCAAGAAGCCAACATGAGGGACTCAGGCTGTACTCATGGTAGGGTGCAGGACCTGAAGGGTGAGGAGCCCTTTCCGGCTTATGTGCTAAGAACTCTTCAGCGGTGGGCAGATGGAGGGGCAGATGAAAGCTGAAAGAACATCTAGGGTGGTGGTAATGCAGGGGTGGGAAGTCATCGGGTGACCAGGTTTGGGGGGCTGTTTTGAATGTGCTAGCAGAATGGGTGTGGGGTGAGAAAGAAAGTCAAAGACAACTTTATTCATTGTTAATTTGAACTAGAAATAGTTATCACCGGAGGCATGGTGAAGACTGAAGGTGGGGACTGTGTGGAGGAAAGGAGTCCAGTTTCGAACATACTCAGTTTGACTTGCCACTGTGGTGTTCACGTAGAGCTGTCAAGTAGGCAGTGGGAAGAGGGGTCTGGTACTCACTGAAGGCATCCAACTGGAGAAATAAAATGGGAGCTTTTGGCATATAGAGGGCACATGAAGACTGACTACAGCCGCCAGGGTGAGTGTAGACAAAGACAAGAGCACCGACTGAGCCTGGCCTCCCACTGAGTTGGAGTAAAGTAGGAAGGAACCCCAGACACGTGAGGTCTGAGCATCCCGGTGAACAGATGCACTCAGGAGGGGGAGTGGTCAGCGGGGGGGTCCTGCTGCCCAGAAGGTGGCAGGAGAACTGAGGGGAGAGGACACTGGTGACTGTGAGTCCTAGGGCAAGACAGCCTATCTGGGTGGGCTCTCAAGAATAGGGAAAGGAATGGGAAGAGCTCTTAAGAGTTTTTTGCTGCAAAAAGGTGTAGAGAAATGGGGCATGGGGTGAAGAAATGGCATTTTGGGATGGAAGAATTAGCAGGATGTTTGCTGAAGACGGTCTATAGAGAGGGTACTGGTGCCAAGAGAGAAAGCGGGGAGTTGCTGGTACAGTGGCCTGGGTAGGTGGGAAGCAGCGGGACCTAGAGCTCCAGGCTCAGTGGGTTCTAGCACAGACAGCGTGCCTGTGCACAAAACGTGGGTACAGGCACTAGGAGGTGAGCAAACACAGCATTTTCTTCTAATGGCTTCCATTTTCTCAGTGAAGCAGAAGCAAGGCTATCTATCCACGGAGAGTTAGGACAGGAATGAGAGAGGTATGAAATGGTCCTCTGAGGTGGCCCTTGGGATTTGTGGTCATTAATGTGAAGGCAGCCAGGCAGGGTGTCACCAGAGTACATGACCAAGAGGGAGCTGGGGCTGGACACAAGGACCTACAGTCATCCCATGCCTTCCCTCCTTGGGAGTGGGTTCTCCTGCAGGGAGGCTGTGGTCCAGTGCATTTACCCCGACCCTGAGTGTGGCTTTTGGTCTGTCAGGATTGGAGCAACTTCAAGGAGCTGATCTCCCAGTGGAGGCAGCCCTGGACCTGGAACAGGCCCACATGGGCATGTTCCCAGAGCTGGCCATCCTCTACTTCAGGGTAAAGCTGCAGAAGATGCTGGAGCACCTGGAGTTCTTCTGGTCCCGTGTCAATATCCCAAAGGTAATGCAGCCCTCCTCTAGGTTCTGGCTGCCACATGCACGCGTGGCACCAGCCTGACCCTCGGTCATATTGTCCTACCAGGTGCTGAGAGCCACAGGACAAGCCCATCTCTGGGAGGAACTGGTGTTCTTCTATGACAGGTATGAGGACTATGACAATGCCATCCTCATGGTGATCAGTCACCCCAGATGCCTGGAGAGATGGGCAGTTCAAGGACACCATTGCTAAGGTAAGAGGGTACCTGAGTGTAGTCTCCTGCCTGCTTCTGCCAGGCCCGTCCCAGGGGCAGGTGGAAGAAACACCAGTGTGCCACCCCAGGGCACGTTTGCACCTCTGTACAGGGGTAGTCATTCTGTCTGCACAGAGGGAGCTGACCCTTAGGAAAGGTTATGACTGGCTGAGGCTGCACAGCTAGGCTAAGGGCAGGGTAGGTCAGTGTGCCGCTGTGGCCCTGCCTGCCTCTTCTGCCCCTCCTGCCACTCCAGCCTCTCAGGACCATGCTTTCCTCACCTCGCTCCCACGCTGGGCCCTTTGCAGCTGGACCTTGCCGTTTGCTCTTCCTTCTGTCCCGTCAGCTCAGGACTCCCAGACCCTGTGTACCACGATTTCCTGGTGTATTTTTTAATATTTTTCACCACCCAGGATTTTTTCCTTCATGTCTCTCCCCCCAACACTGCAAGCATCTGTCTGACAGAGGGGCAGTAACATCCTCAGGGGGAGACATGAACCCAGGTCTGACCCGGGTGCCCGCCTTCCCAGGAGCTGCCACCCACCCATAGTCTAGATGGGTTAAACTAGAATCCCAAGCTGTTCCACCAGCCACCAAAAACTGGTGGGAGGCGTCATATTTGGGTGCAAGCATCACACAGGCCTCCGCTGTTTTGTGTTTCTGGTTTCCGGGCTGCTCCTCTGTGAGCTCCATGCACACGTTAGCTGGTAAGGGAGTGAGCTCCCTATCTTCAGGCCCTGGACCTTTTACTCTGAGTGTGCTCCTTTTGTGGTGGCCTTAGGTGAATAATTTGCCCTCAGGTCTCCCATTCGCTGTCTGCCAGGGAAGGGAGCTGACTGCATGTCCACCCTGCTGCTCCCACGGAGCAGGGTGCGCTCCTCTGCTCTGGGTCAGGGACTTGTGTGCCTTCTATTCCTCGTATGGCTGCTGAGGGAAGGCCTGGGTGGCAGGTGGGGTGTCCAGCCAAACCTCCTGGGAGCTGTTAGAGGAACCCTTGGCCCCGAGGTCATACTCATGCACAGTAATCAGCACGGCGGTGTGAGAAGTCTGGTGTCTTGCCAGTTGCTGGTAGAAAGAAAGCCAGGCAGATCCCACATTCCTGTGCCCTGGCACACATGAAAAACATGCTGGAAAACTCATACCTAATCAGTTCTAGGTGACTTTTTTCACATTTAACTCCTGGTACCAGGATGCTTTTTAAAGTTGATGACATGCCATAGTCGAGGTGACAGTGCCTTTTTTTTCTTTTGATTTGAGAGAGAGAAAAACATCAATCTGTTTGTTCCACTTATTTATGCATTCATTGGTTGCTTCTTGCATGTGCCCTGACTGGGGATTGGACCCACAACCTTGGCATATCAGGATGACTCACTAAGCAACTGAGCTACCCAGCCGGAGCCAGTGCTTTTTGTTTCTTAGTGATATCTGGGTGCTGTAGCTGTCCAGAGAGCCAATGTATCCCCTGACCCACGTTCAGTCCATCTCGATGACAGGATAAGCAGATTCCTGAGGAGAGGTGGTACACAGCACAGTGTCTTGGGTCCCACGACATGCCTCACAGATGAGACTGTGGCATGTGAGAGCGGTGATCGTATCGCTGATGGCCAGAGCTTCTGCAGCATTTCCCACTAAAATGCCCATGGCTGAAATTGGCGTCTACTGAGAAATCTTGGCAGCTCTCTGTGCATATGTGCTTGTAGGGCTAGTCAATTCTAGGACACCAGCCTGTCAGCATGTCATGGGGCCCCCAGCCCAGTGGTTCCCCTACTGGGGACTTGTCTGAGTGTACTGCTCATTCTCCCTGCTCAGGCAGGCCAGTTGTCCCTGGTGAAGCCTTACCTGCGGTCAGTCCAGAGCCACAGAAAGTGTGTGAATGAGGTGTTCAACCACCTGCTGATGGAAGAGGAGGATTACCAGGGGGTGTGGGGAAAGAAGCCCTATCAGAAGGCTGCTGCGGCCTCCTCCTGTGCTTCAGGGGGCCATGATACTGGCCTTGGATGCTCAGGGACTGGAGAGCCTCTGTCTGTACCAGCCAGTGTGTCCTCAGCAAGCTGCTCTTGCGCAGGATGGGGTATGGACACCAAGCGGCACCTTAGATAGTGGACAGAGACCTTTTTGGGGCTGCATTGGCAGCAACCAGTACTGAGTAATACCTAGGGCCTGCTCCACCATGTCCCTCACCCACAGAAAGGCTGTGTCCTCTGAGGTCTGAGAACACCTGTCTACACCTACAGCAACTCTGACAACATCGCGCTGGCCCAGCGGCTAGAGAAGCACCAACTGATCCAGTTCAGGCGCATCGCCGTGTATCTATACAAGGGCAAGAACCAATGGACCAGAGCTCTGCTAAAGACCGCTTCTTCAGGGTCAGTCTCAGTACCCTGCTTGCCCACCCCTGTATGCTTCCTGATGCTTGTGTGTAGGGGGTCAGGGGCCAGTCACAACCCTCCACCAGGAAATTCTCGTGGTGGAGACACGAAGTTAAGGAGGCAGTGTTTTTAGAACACAGGGTGAGGGTTGGGAGCAATCCAGAGGATGAATATCTATTGTTAACATATAGCCTTTGAAAGTTATTTGGATTGAAAGACTTGCTTTCAAATGGGTGATTATTTTCCCAGCAGTTATTTGTGAGTTTTACTTTCCCTAAACACAGTGTGGCTGTGTTCACTTGGCACCTACTTTGCTTCCTATCAAATTTGGGGAATTAATAACCCCTAAGTAAATATCACATTCATAATACTTGCTTCCGCTAGTGGCGTGGCACTCCCTGCAGAGCCAGATCCAGGTCTAGGCACATGCTGGTCAGAGTGGGCTGCCGGAGAGATCCCAGGCCCACGAGGCATTACCGTCCCTCTGCCTGGCATCTCCCCAGGGGGTAAAGTACAGTTACACAGGAAGGCCCTTGTGTAATATGCTTCACAGCTGAGCCAGTTTCCAAGGGTTCGGTGTCCCAGGAGACCCTGAGAGCCGTGAGCTCGACCTAGGGGTGTTATTTCCATAGCTGTCCTCAGCACTCCTGAGTACTTCCCCAGGACAGACACCTCCCTCTCACAGCACGTGGGCTGATGCCCTTAATGTCAGGGTACATTGAGCTTCTCACCGAGTGGTCACCTCCAGTTTGGGACTGTCACATGACCTCTCCTTGCCCTTAGTGACAGTGCTTGTGGTCCTTCCTGGGATGCTGACAGGGCCCCTGTAGAGGGAGCTAAGAGGAAATGCTGAAAAAGCTCTGGGACTACATGTCACAGTGTTCAGGTGCTGGCCCTGGAAGGTGGCAGTGGGTCTCTGACACGCCAGAGGGAAGCTGCCCCCGGCTAAGAGGTCACAGCTGCCCTGTCCTGCCAGTGGCACACCAGGGTCTCGAATGCACAGGCTTCTCACAAGCCAGGGCAGGAAGTGAGTGAGCGAGCAATGCCGTGAGCACTGCCAGAGGGACGTCCGCTCTCCCCAGCCAGCAGTGGCACTCCGAGTGCCACGCACCAGGAGGAGAACCCAGAAGAACAGAACCACAGAAAGGAAGTGGTTAATATAGTTTCCAGCACAGTGGTTCTCAATCAGAGGTGACTTTGACCCCCAGAGGATACTTGGTTGTCACATCTGAGGGTGCAGTGCTGCATCTAGTAGCTGGAGGCAAGAGCGGTGGTGTCCTCTCACACACACACATACACACAAAGTGTCAGCAGTGCCTTGGGAGGGGTACCACCCTTGGTAGCAGCCCTAGGAGAGTGGACATTACATAATGTCACCCCAGAGGGGGTGAGTGGTGACTACTCCTATAACAGTCATGGAGCAACAAGAAGTGTGCTTTCCAGATTCCAGAGCTGAGGGTGAAAGCACGGTGGCTGTCAGTCATCGGGGGGACTTCTTGGAGGTGTCCACATTTTACCTAGGGAGTCAGCTGAGCAGAGGGAACAGGAGTGGACTGCTGAGGAACATCGGGACAGGCAGCACATGAGGGAAGGTGTCAGGACATGGGCAGGTGAGAGCTAGTGGAACCACACATAGGTGTGCAGGCAGGTGAGAGGTCGTGGGCCCACCATGCCCACAAGTGAAGAACAGTAGTCCACAGGGATGAAGTCATGGGCCAGAACCAGCAGGGCCAGGGGCTGGAGCAGGGCCCTAGCAGGAGCTGGCGGTGATTTGGTAGGAGATGGAGAGATGCCCTGATAGTGACATGGACAGTGTGGTAACAGGGAGTGGGGAGGTATGGGGGAATCTCAGACTTGACCTTGGTTCCAGGCTGTGGGAGGAGGGCACAGACTGAGACGTCCCCTGCAGGGCTTATTGCATCTGAGCCTCCAGAAAGCTGCCAGGTTCTATAAACATCCACTTTTTGCTGCTGGCAGTTGAGGCTGTGGGAGTTTGTGAAACAGCCCACAAGACCTGAGGAGGGAGAGAAGAGCCTCTTTCTGTGTGCAGGTTGAAGACAGGCCAGCTAAGAAGCTCAGCTGGACTGGAGGAAGCTGCAGGGAGAGTGATGCATTGGCATCTGATGTCGGGGGGACAGGACCTGAAGGTGTCCTGGAGCTTTCGTTTGAGTCTCCATTGACTTTGATGGCAAAAAAAGAAAGAAAGAGCCCTGGCCCGGTGCCTTAGTTGGTTGGAGCGGCATCCTGGACACTAAAGGGTTGCAGGTTCGATCCTGGTCAGGGCACATACCTAGATTGCAGATTCAATCCCCATTTGGGGCATATACATGTTTCTCTTTCACATCTATCTCCCCCTTCTTCTATCTCTAAAAAAATCAATAAACATATTCCTCGGGTGAGGATTAAAATCTTAGAGAGAGAGACAGACCTGGTGCCTTGTAGGAGCAGTGTGGGGACAAGGCGGGACTTGGCAAAGAAAGCAGCAAGCTTGTGGGATAGGATCCTTCCAGGAGGAGGATCGAGAGCGTGTGCCACGTGCTCACAAACAGGGCTTTGGGGCTCCTGTCAGCCTCCAGAGGGACCTCAGAGCCTGGTGTTGGAGGCGACTGAGTGAGCTCGAGGCGTAAGGACGACAATATCTAATAGTTGTCCCTGGGTGGTGGCAGTCCCAGCGGGCAACCACAGTGCCTTTCACACCAGCCGTGCCCACAGCAGCCGAATGTGTGGAGGGTTGTGGAGGCTGAGGGAGCTAACATGAGTTGGCAGCCTGGGTTATTCAGTTCTTGCTTTCAGAGCTAAAACACAGAGGATGGTTATAGAAATGGCTAATTTACTGATGACTAAGCACAGGGTGGGTATAATGTTTTTAATTGTTTTAGACTAAGAAATTTGCCAAATATGAAAGTAGTGATTAGGGGCTTTTTTAAAAAAAATCCTCCCTTGGCCATCAAACCCACAACCTTTTGGTGTGTAGGATGATGCCCTGACCAACTGAGCCACCCGGCCAGGGCTGATTAGGGAATTTTGAGGGACTTTCTTATGTCAGGAAAAAAAGGCAAATTGCTGTTTCTTGAGCACTAGAGTGTCCCCTGTAGCTGCTCCATGTTGAGTTTGGAAAGATAGTACTGGCCATTGGCCCAAGCAAAGTGACTCTGGCTTTCACAGCAGCCCTGCTGGCACTGTCACCATTCCCTTCGGTGCCCGTGCACTCCCTCTGTGTGCCGTGGGGCCTTGAGGCCGGATCTTGTCTCATAGGCACCTGCGCTGTGTGTGCTGCTTCCCTTGGGCAGTTAGTTCAGCAGCTCTGCAAGATCGAGCTGCCAAGCCCATGCTTGGTGCCCTCCTCAGCCCTCCTGGAGGTGGTACTGTGTCTACCTGAAGGCAGCCGAGGTACAGGGAACCCTCCACGGGTAAGGAGAGGGCCTTCATGGACCTGGCACTGTCCCTGTACCCTATCAGCCCAGAAAGGCAGGGTGGCTGAGCTCCGTCGCCTCGGTTGCAGGATGCCATGCAGCACACTCCGGAGTTCAGGGATGGCAAGCCAGCGGAGAGGTGGCTGTCGTGGCAAGTGGGAGTGCTTTGCGGCCTCACTCTTCATTCACCTGCCAGGACCGGCTTCCCCTAATGTGATGCTGGAGCTGGCCTGGAGGCCCAGCCTGGTGGACCTGGCCATGCCCTGCTTCACCCGGGTGATGAGGGAGTACCTTAGCAAAGTAAGTACCTGCCTTCGGTGGCTCCCTGGGACTCTGGCTCTGGTCTGCAGAGGCCCCGCAGTGGCCTTTTGGAGGGCAGCCCAGATTGCCCAGCCAGCCCAAGCTGCGGATGGGAGAGGGGTCTCTTGCCTTCATACTTGATGGTTTTCTACCCAAGTTATTATTTCTAGAAAACCACCGTAGCAGGGGGACGGGGGGAGCTGGGTAACTTGCCCTCACAGCAGTTTCCCTCACACCGCTGGGGGCATGCAGTGTGCTCGCTCACCAGCTCACCACCAGAAGGCCCAGGGCCACCTGGTGTGGGCCACTATCTCAGCGCCAGCCATTGGCAGTTGGAGGAGTGTTTAATAGGAATGTTAACACGTATTCTAGCCTTTAACACCTTAATGAGGGAGGCAGTCACACCTTTACAGCCATAGACACTGAAGTTCAGGTCCAAAGCTGACATGTGAAGGGGGGTAGCACTTAGACACACGTCTCCCTGGCCCAGGGGCCATACTTATGTCTTGGCACATTGCTTCTGCCACTCCAGATGTCACTTCATGTCCCTAGTGTCCCACACTGGCTTTCTTTGTAGGTTGATGAGTTGTTTAACAGAGCGTCAGTGTCTGGTTTTCAATTCCGTGTCTGTCGAAGCCCTGGGAGTCCCTCTCTAGGGCCTAGCTGTAGCCACTGCCCAGAGACCCATGTCATCTGGGTCAGTTTGCTTCTAAGCCTACAGAAAAGCGATTGCTCGGCAGTAGCTACTTGCCCGTCTAGCCACATACCTAACCTGCTTCCAGCCAGACGGGGGCCCCACAATGCCAAGAAGCCACCCGCTGAGGCTTCTCTCAGTGTGCGTGGAAGGGAAGAGCCTCCCAGGGTTAGTATGGGGGTCAGAGAAGAAACAGGTGGGGGCGGGCTTCCTCTGCCTGCCACATGCAGAGCCTCCCAGCAGCTGCCCAGCCCCTGGCAAGGGTCATTCCCAGGGCTATTCAAGGTCATTCATTGCCCTTCTGCAGAAGGAGGAACCCATAAAGTGTGCCTTCTTATTAGAAGAACTTTGGCCCCTGGCCCAGAGTCCCCAGACACCTTCCCTGGTCCTAGAAAGCAGGAGCTGCCTGTCATGGCAGGGAGAGGAGGTGCTCATGAGGGATTTCTCTGACAGTGGGTGGGGTATGGTTCTTGGCTTGGGCTAGAGCCCAGCAGAATGGACACTGCTGGAAGCGGAGGAGCCCAAACAAGAATGCCACAGCCCCTTCCTGACTAGAGATCCAGACCCCAGGCCTCTTGACTCCTCTGAGAAGCTTGAGAGCCATCTCTCTGAGAACCTCTGCCCCCCAGGGCTCTCCCAGTACAGCCAGCTGATGGCAGAGAGGACAGGCTGTGAGAGGACAGCCGACTTGCTCCTTCTTCACCTCAGCCCAGGCCCCATGGAGGGAAGAGGAAAGCAGCCCACAGGGCTGGCGTCAGAGCTGTCTCTGCTGGGTTTCTGGCTCCTGGCCTGAGCACTCCCAGACCTGAGAGCACGTGGGGCACATAACTGTTTCTTCTTTCTTACCTAAGTGCTTGTTTGGTGGGGGGTGGGGGGGTGCTGACACACAGTTGCTGTCACCCCTGCTAGCACAGTGCTGTGCACCCTACATCACCCATGGCACCACCTCACTCTGTTCCCTCTCTATTAGTCTGTCTGTCTGCACCAGCATGCAGGTGCTGCACCTGGCGAAGCTTTGAGGAAGGGCAAAGTGCTTGCTGCTCATCTTCAGATGGCCATCACAGCCCCTCCCCTCAGGTGGTGCATCCTTGCTGCCAGCTGAAGGGTCCCAGGTATAAGGTGACCAGTCTCAGAAGGGGTGAGCAGCCTGGACTGGAACCACTGCATTGTCTTGGTGGTGTCCCTGTTCCCAGAGGAGAATGCAGCCCTGTGAGCCATGCCACACTCACAGCCTGTGGTTGCAGCCCACGGATCCAGTGTGCCTGGTCTGGTGGTCAAGTGCCCACCCGGGAAATACTGGCTGGAACAGCAGCTGGGGTCCACCAGGTCCACACTGGGCACTCACATCTCCACCTGATTAGAGAGGCCTCATTTTGTGGAGTGAGGTGGTGGTCACTGCTGGTTCAGCAATGCTGTGTGCACCTGTCTTCAGCTCTACCTCTCCTGGAGGCTACGTGCTTGACTCCCAAGTTTACCTCCAGGCCTAGACCGCATGTGGCCTGTCAGGTGGGCATTCACAAGCTCTTGCCTCTTTGCAGACAGACTGGAGGCCTAGGAGAGTCTGCACATGCAAGAGAAGCATGTGGTAGAGCCCGCTTCTCTCCTGTTTAGTAGGTGGCAACCCACAGCTCCTGTCTTCTAGGAAGGGGAGGCAATTTACACCACTGGGCTTCAGACTGCGGCAGGAGTGGACAGGGCTGGGGATAAAGGACCACAGTGGCTATCAGGTGTAGAGGTCAGTGATCCATGAATGTTAAAAGGGACCACCATTATCTTCCCTGCTCCAAGGGCAACTGCCTCCTGGTGGGGGTGCCCCTGCCTGGCCTCTGACAGCAAGACTGTTGTTGGCTTTGTACTTTACAGCCCACCTGGCTGTTCTGGCCATTCGGTATACAGATCACTTGGTGTCCAGCACACAGAGAGGCCAACGGGTCCTAGAATGCATTTGCAGGACTGACATAGGTCTAAACGTGCAACATGAGCATGCACCACCTGAGTCTCCCAGGGAGACTGTGCTCTTTGGGAGTCATGGCGCCCACCCACCATTAATGTCAATCTGGTTTTTTTTTTAGATATTGATGGGCATGAATGAGACCCAGCCAGTTGAGCAAAGTAAGTGCCTCATTTGAGGATGAGCTTACCCTCTAGTCTGGCCAGCCTCTGGAGCTGGCCGGACAATTGCAGCTCCCACAGTCCTTGCCTCCTGGGTACCAGCTCTGGGTGGTTAGGGCTGGTCTGAATCCTGTGCCTGGGGCCCCTGGCCACTTGGGGGCAGCAAGAGCCCTGCTCACCCTTGGTGTCTCTTTCTGCAGGCCAGCAGCTGGCTTGGACAACAGGCCCTGCTGCTGGACCAGCCCCTGCGGGCTTTCCCTGTGGAGGGCAGACGCTCTGCCTTTGTCCGGCCTCCTGTGTACTACTACTTCAGCATGTAACAAGCCCTCAGTGGCAACACTCCCTCTGCAGAGTTATTAACCTCTCCGAGGAGCACAGAGGACCCGGATGAAAGGCGGAGACACCTGGGTGTTATTTTTTTTCTTTTGCTGAGGCCCAGTGATGGCAGCCACTAGGCCATTCCAGAACGCCTGACTCCCTAAGAAGACCAACTCCAGACACCAGGCAGGGAGATCAGTTCAAGCCTCCAGATCCTCCGGCAGCTGGACATCCTGGGGAGTTCTTGATTGCATTGACTCCCTGCGCTTGGGGGAGGGGTGCCTTCTCTCTACTCAGCACTGCTGGAGCTGCCCCCTCCTGGTTTTGAGCCTGCTGCCTATCATGAATATTAAAGTCGGTTTATCAAGGCAAAGTTTCCCTGCTTGGTGGTAGTGTGGGTAGGAGGGTGGGGGACCTGCTAGCTGTGTGCAGTGCCGGTGGTAACCGCTGGGCGCGTGGGTATGGGAAGGCCAAACTCTCAAACAGTAAGGATGGGGCTAGCCCACGTGTCTTCCCACCGCCATTTCTGTAGGTCCTGCCGTACAGGGCAGAAGCACAGACCCCAAACCTGCTCTTTCCTGCACCAGCCCAGGAGATTGCACTTAATGTTTTGTTTTGTTTTGTTTTTTTAAGATTTTTATTTACTAATTTTTGGAGACGGAGAAGGGAGGGAGAAAGGGAGAGAAAAGTTGATGTATGAGAGATACACCAATTAATTCACACGCTTTCTACGGGGGATTCTGTCCGCGACCCAGGCACGTGCCCTGACAATGCATCCTGGTGCTCAGTCCACTGAGCCACATGAGCCAGAGCAAGGGCACTGCACTTTGAACCACAGCTCCTGCCTGATGCAGCACCGCCTCCCAAGGGCCCCGCCCGCAGCACCAGGGACAGTGGTTATCCCGGACCCGTTTGGCCATTGGCTGGGGTGCCGGCCCCGCCCCGGCCTCAGTTTCCCGGGCGCCCGGGGCGGACCTGGGGCGGAGACCGGCTCGAACCACACTGGGCGGAGACCGCTCGAACCACGCGGGGCGGAGACCAGAAGCTGACGCGACCGCCCCGCCCCGCCCCCAGGCTTAACCACTAGTCCGCCACCGCCTCCGCAGACAGCGTTAAGTGCAGGAGGCTCGGACCCGCGGCTGAGGCCGGGTGCCCCGCCTCCCGGCAATGGCGGCGTCCCGCGATCTGGCGGCGGCCGCGTCCGCGCCCGGAAAGGCCAAGCTGACGCACCCGGGGAAAGCCATCCTAGCAGGTGGGTTCCTCGAAGACCCGAATCCAGGGCCCAGCTGTCCCACCGGTGCTTCGAAGTGGGCCCGGGATGCCCAGAACCCTCCCTACTTCCGGGTTGGGCGGGGGGCGCAGCCCTGTTCGTTGGCGCTCACCCTGTGTGTCACCCCAGCGAGCCTCCGCAGGGCAACGGGGGTGGGGCATAGAGTCGTGGTCGGACAGAGTCCAGAGCGGGGGAGGGGCCGGGGCAGAGGGCGGGGCGCCCGGGTAGGGGGTCTCAGGACAGGAGTTCCCCGTTCCCGCAGGCGGCTTGGCAGGCGGCATCGAAATTTGCATCACCTTCCCCACTGAGTATGTGAAGACGCAGCTGCAGCTGGACGAGCGCTCACACCCGCCGCGCTACCGGGGCATTGGTGAGCAAGGGACGGCGGCTGGGAGCTCCAGGGGGCGGGCCCCGGGTGAGGCGGGAGTCGCTGACCGCCCCCTCCCCCAGGGGACTGCGTGCGTCAAACTGTCCGCAGCCATGGCGTCCTGGGCCTTTACCGAGGCCTCAGCTCCCTGCTCTATGGCTCCATCCCCAAGGCAGCGGTCAGGTGAGGCGGACTCGGGGCTGGGGCAGTCTCCGGAGGGTGCTACGGGCAGTGGCAGCCCCTCTCACCCGACTGCCTTGTGCCCCAAGGTTTGGGATGTTTGAGTTCCTCAGCAACCACATGCGGGATGCCCAGGGACGGCTGGACAGCACCCGTGGGCTGCTATGCGGCCTGGGCGCCGGGGTGGCCGAGGCTGTGGTGGTCGTGTGCCCGATGGAGACCATCAAGGTGAGGAGGTCCCTTTAGGGACAAAGCATGCCAAGGGGCTCTGGGGTGGTGGAAGCTGGGGTGGCCCTGTGTCCAGCAGAAATGTCGAGGTTGGGAGGGTCCAGCAGGAGGGGGCAAGGTGTGCATAGGGAACTGCCTGGAAAGCTGTGTGCAGGAGGCCTGCAGGATGGGCCTCCTGGGGAGGCTGTACTCTCCTGAAAGCAGTGGGAAAATGGTAAGTTTCTTAAAAACACTTTTACAAACAGAAAACTGTTTTCTGCTATTGCCTTAGCTATGGGCAATACCAGCAAACACAACTGCAGAGGCTTCCTGCTGAGGATGGCCCTCTTATCTCTTGGGCCTCAGGTCCCACAATAGTCTTGGCTGGCCCTGTGTCTAAATGAAAAGGTGTATCTTCAACCATGGCCTGACCTTGGTGGGCTCTGGACCCGCAAGCCAAGGGGCCATGTGTGCCTTACCAGTGGCAACCTGAGAGTCAGCTCCTTTGCTTTCCTTTCTCTCAGGTGAAGTTCATCCATGATCAGACCTCCCCCAACCCCAAATACAGAGGATTCTTCCACGGGGTCAGGGAGATTGTGCGGGAACAAGGTGAGTCATTTGGCCTTACTCTTCAGGTAGGGTTGAACCTCAGCCAGGATGGAAAGGACGTGTGCTCACTTCCTCTTCCTCCTTGGCACTTCTCTGTGTAGCCTCCCGAAGTCCCCATCTGGGGCTAACCCCCATGTCTTCCTGCCCCCAGGGCTGAAGGGGACATACCAGGGCCTCACAGCCACCGTGCTAAAGCAGGGATCCAACCAGGCCATCCGTTTCTTTGTCATGACCTCCCTGCGCAACTGGTATCGAGGTGTGTCTGCTGCCCTGAGACCCCATCTCCATACACTTTTGGGCTTCCCTTGAGGAGACTGCCCCTTGAGGCCCCCACCTTCATAGGCCCAAGTCCATGCTCCTCCCCAGCCCTCAGAGTTGGCCCCTTTTCCTTCCCATCACCTTCTGATTGCAACCCTACCCACCTCTAGGGGACAACCCCAATAAGCCCATGAACCCACTGGTCACTGGAGCCTTTGGAGTTATTGCGGGTGCAGCCAGTGTTTTCGGGAACACTCCTCTGGACGTGATCAAAACCCGGATGCAGGTGGGGTAAAGCTGGGAAGGAGGGAGGGGAGGTTGGGACGGCCCCTGGCTGCTGAGCCCTGCAGTGTGCTGGTGTCTCACAGGGCCTGGAGGCAAGCAAGTACCGGAGCACGTGGGACTGCGGCCTGCAGATTCTGAAGAATGAGGGGCTCAAGGCGTGAGTGGAGGAGAGATAGGGCTATTGTCCCCGCCCCAGACCCTTCCTGGCCTTCTGGCTAGACCTTACCAAAACCCCCTCCAGCATCTAGACTCACCCCCACTGCCCAGGGGCACAGTCCTTCATTTGCCTCCTCACCTACTTACTTTTTACTCCCACCCTACCCAGGTTTTACAAGGGCACTGTCCCCCGCCTGGGCCGGGTCTGCCTGGATGTGGCCATCGTGTTCATCATCTATGATGAGGTGGTGAAGCTGCTCAACAAAGTGTGGAAGACGGACTGACCCTGAAGGGTCTGCCTCGCAGCTGCCCTCAGGCAGCTCCGCACCAGCCCCCTCCACCCTCTTCTCATGATTCCAGTGCAGTTGTGCCAAAAGGCCCCCTTCCCTGTCCCTTGCACTCCATGGCCTGGGCCTGTTCCCCGTAGCCATTGAGTGCATGTGCCTCATAGTACAGTGTGTCCCATGCAGTCCATATAATAACCACCATTGTGTCCATGTGTTCAGCGGAGGCTGGGTGTCTCTCTGGCCTGTGACTCTGTGCCCACTTGTCCATGTGCTCACTCATGAGCCATGTGCCTGTGGTTCATGTTCTGTGTTATGTGACCCTGTGTCCCACTTCCCGGGGGGCCTCTGTAGTCTGGGTCCATGGCCCTGTAGCCATGGCTCAGTCCTGGCCCAATGCCTTTCACCATGGGCAGCAGAGGCACCTGCCCCCGGCCTACCACAGCTGCCTCCAGGCCTCAGCCTGGCCTCATTGCATTCCAGGGGCTGCATGCCCCCCGCTTCTCCCGCCACTGGCCTTAACTGGCCCTTGGGCCCTCCCTCCGCCTGGGACAGGGTGGCACCCTCCACTCTCAGGACCACCCTCCCAAGGCAGAATAAACCGGATCCTGTCACACCCTCCTGTTCCTGTGTGGGCCCTTCTGTGGGTGGGCAGTAATGGCCACACCTTTGTGATGGCCAGGCCCACCTCATCTGTGTATACTGGCAGGGGGACAGGGAAGCCAGGCAGCGGGCAAGTTGGTGGGTGAGCCAGCTGTAGCCAGCCACAGTGTCTACCCCGAGAGTCCTGCCACCAGGCCAAGGAACATCCGAGCCCCATCCAGCCCTTGCCTGTGGCCAAGATCCTGTGGGGTCACTGGGAAAGGCAGCACTGCGTGGGCAGAGGAAAGAACCACCCAGTGCCACTGGCTGGGTCAGGGGACAATGCTCCTGGGCTCTTCTTGTTTGTCCCTCAACCAGTAATTACGCCCACTTCCCTCCCTCCCTTTTGGTTTCTCTGTAAAATAGTATGTTACTGTTTCTAGTCCCTTGAGGCTGTGAGCAGGGCAGCCTTGACTCACCCCAGCCAGGCTGGGAGGCCACTGCCTTGGGGCAGGAGTGGGTGGAGCCTCCAGGCCAGGGCCCTACTGGTCACTTACCCCACAACCCTGCACCTCAGAGGTAGGCAACCCTCTTGCGGGAATCCCAGGATCCTGGCACACGTGGCAGCCCCACAGGGCTCATGGGTTGTGGTTCTCAGCCCCTGGTCTGAGGGGCCAGGAAGAGAATCCCCAGGGCTCTCCACCACCTCAGATCAGGAGCTGGGAGCCACAACAGCAGGCCAAGTGGAGGACACTGAGAGCAGGATGGGGTGAGCCAGTGCCCCTGGCCGTGTGGAGGCAGGAGGGGCCTTCCTGTCTGGGTGACTCTGGGGGTAAAAGTCATGGAGAGTTTTGGCTCAGGCTGGGAAGTAACTTGCCAACAGAAGCCTCCCAGTAGGAAGGTCCTCTTCCTGGAACTCTTCCTTCTGGCGGAGGGTGCCCCATCTGGTAACAGCACCTGGATCCCAAGTCTGAGGTAGATCTGAAAACCAGACGGCTTGGAGGGCAAGGGAACACAGGGTTTTGAAGGGCTGGGCCTCGTGCTCTTGGTGTTCTCAGGAGACCTGCCAGTCTTTACCACAATGGAGGAGAAGGGGCCCAGCAGCAAAGCTTGCCTGCCCACAGGGGCCAAGGGCTATTCACCCACACACACACCAGGGTGTGCAGGAAACTCTG